GTTAGGAAAGAAAAAAAGAGCATTCCTTTACACATCCTTAGAGATGATACTGCAGTCAAGGATGAGAAGACAACACCATCCATCTCTACTCTCAAATACAGACTAAATACTCGGAGACACAGTAAACTGTGTCCGCAATTAAATCAAATATCACATTTGGGGGGGGGGGGGGGGGGGGTGCAATTTCATTTTTAAATTGCTTTCATTCTCTTGCTAGTTAACTGATTAAAAGGAGAGTATGGTGACTACAATGTGACAGGGATTCATGAAAATTCCACACCAGTGATTCCATCATATACTCTTGAAAATCAAGTAGCATAGACTGTAAAAGACATCATATAAGGTACCGCTTGAGCCTTTAACTCATTTCTGTCGAGAACCAAGACTAAGTAAGAGGCTCTTCTAAATGCCTAAAATAGTTGTGGTTTCTACAGATATAATCCAGCCAAAGAGATGTACTACAAATATTTCCCAGTCTCACTATCTTCTCAAAGATACCAACAATTTACCATATTTAAGTAAGATAATTTAATAAATGGACAATTGATACACAATTAGCTAAGTAATACAAACAAGCAAATTGGGCAGGGACAGGTTGACAAAAAAAGAAATGACAAAGTACCAGCTTAAATGATTCAGAAAGAGATTCCACTGAAGTGTAAGCAAGATAAAGAAGAGAACTCTTGTAGAACTCGGCGAAGTCCTGGCGAGCTTTATGATACTGAGACGAAACCCAATAATAGCTCGCATAAACAGATGGATCAATGTCAGTCATACTGTCAAGTGTAGTCTTCCCTTCATCTAAAAGTTTCTGGCACTCCTTTTGATCCCCTTGCTCAAGCTTAAACAGGGCAATCTGCATCTTAATATAAAGAATCGGCTCCTCTATCCGTGTCTCTTTAGTATTACGAAGTTTCTCAGTCACTCCTTCAAGGTAACCTATAGCAGCCTCTTTTTCGGGGTATTGCCGAGAAACAATGACCGCAAAATGTGCAAGCTTGAGAAGATTGATCTTTGTCTCAAAATCAGTGATGAAGTTGTCATACAACTGTATTAGTGCGTCACCAGCCTAAAGGGAGAAGAGAAGTGTTAGATGCCAACACAACAAAATAAAACAAACACCCGTTTACGTAACGTTCTTCAGAATCAATCATGCACAAATGTAGCACGGTACAAATAGATTGTCCGAAGCAAAAGGTGCAAACTTTCATGCAATAAAGACACATATAGTAGTAATACAGTCTAAGCTCCAAAAACATCACCATTCCTGGAGAATGGACCCCCAGTGATAAGATTTATTACTAAAATATGTTAGTTTTACCAGCTCGACTTCAATTTACACCACGAGTACAGGACAAGGATAACCGATAAAGCACCCATTTAGATGATTGAGCATTTCTTTTGGGGAATATGTAATTGAATTGTGATGATTTAAAATAACACTCCCTCAATCCTAGTGATATTCTTTCCTTTTTGGTCTGTCCCAACAAAGAACAATAAATTATATATTTTTAAACAATTTAACTTTAACCGTCTTATTTTACCTTAATGAGATTGATTTATAATCACACAAATATCTATGGCTTATTTTAGACCATATGTTTCAAAAGGCTATATTTCTTTCCCAAATTCCATGAACTGTCAAACATCCTCATATAAATGGGGACGGATAGAGTAGATAAAAACACCTTACACTTGACTTGATAATCTATCTGCTTATTTTGCCACTAAGTTCGGAAACAGGGTCCTAATTAGTTCCATATAAGCTAATCCAGATGCAATTGCATTCCATCATTAGGTAAATTATCAACATATTACATGCCAATTCATGCTACATGAAACAAATGCAAATAAGAATAGAATTCAATTTAAAACTAAACCCTCCACAAAACCCTAACTTTTACACACCTAAACCCATTGCATTCACCCCAAAAAAGGTCTAAATACGATTAAAACAAAACGAAATTCACAGGTATTAAATGGAATTGAATAATGACCTGAAAAAGGGGAAGTGAAACGAACTGGTCAAGCTTGAGAGTAAGCTGGTGCCAGAGCTTTCTTTGGTACAGATCTGATAGCGTAGTGTACCAATCGGAGAGCTCGTGATGGGCATTGCAAAGCGATTCCAGGTACTGTAGAGCCGCCATGGCTGAAAACTCGATGCAAGACGAAGCAGCTGCTGTGTGTGTGTGTGTGTGAGAGAGAGAGAGAGAGAAAACTAAAACCTTTGGCTTGTTCTCAAAGAAAAGAATACATATGGGAAGGAATATGGAGTTTTTAATCCAAATAAACCCTTTTAAGTTTAGAAGTAAGTTCATTTTAGTCTCTAATTGTTTACATTAGATACATGTGACCCATTAAGTTTACAAAATTTAAGCACTTTTAGTTCAATTGATGGAACTCCCAATACCCAAATAAGTCAAGTTAAAATTAACAGAAATGTCATATTTTCCATGTATATCCAAACTAAACAACAATCATGATTGAAATTTTTAGCTTTTTTCTTCTTTTGATTTTACGAATACAACGATAACCAACTCGGTAGTTTCTTACAAATGGGGTTGGGGAGTGTAAGATGTACGCAGTCTTACCCCTACCTCTAGAAGGGAAGATAGGCTGAATCCGATAGATCATCGGCTAGAGAACGACGGAAAAAGAAAAGGTAATTTCAACAAGTAGGAATAACAGCAAGATGAAATAAGATTGAATCCAAGAATGCAGTCAAACTCTAGGTAGTGATAGCCGTTATGGATAAAAGATATGATACTAACATTAATGCTAGCAAATTGAGTAAGACAGAGAGAAATGCTCGACTAGTTACGAACCTTCTACCTTAATCTTTGACCTCCACACCCTCCTGTCTACGGTCATGTCCTCAATCAGCTCCAGCTGCGCCATAACACGCCTAATAAACTCTCCGGGAGACTTCTTAGGCCTACCTCTACCCCTCATGCTACCCACCGAGGCTAACCGCTCGCACCCTATTAACATGTCTGAACCATCTCAACCTTGACTCGCTCGTCTTATCCTCCCTTATTTTACAAGTGATTCTCCTTTTTGTACTTTTTGTTGTATAACTAGTACCGAAATTAGAAAGAAAAAAAACACGAAATTGTGGAAGAATACCTCGGATATTTTGTACTCTAGTCACGTGCAAAATACGTGATATTTCCTTATAGTTCGTTTTGGATGTTTTATCTGTTGGACTAAAAGTGTTTAGTTATATACTTGTTTTATGTGTCGATACAAAATCAATTAGCTGAGTTTACTGTTTAAGGTGGAAATTTATAAGCATTCTTATAGGGTTTTTATCGATCTCTATACAGAAGGTGAATTCCATCAACTAATTATAGTTTTGACAAATGTATATTATCATCATCCAATTTATTATATATGTAGATCCACAAGAGAATCTCACTTCTTAATATAGTAAAACAATAAACGTTATACATTGCTCATAATAATTGCGTAGATCAAATTAAGAGTATCAATACATTTAATGGAATAAAATTTTATTATATATAGTCAGTACAAAAATACTTTTTTTCATTTGGTCTTGTTCAAAACAGACCAAATATACTAGTGCAAGAAATTAGAATTATACTATTTTCATAATCAAGGAAAATTATCTTAATCTTGTGCTAAAATTATACCGAGTGTCCAACTCCATTTTAGATTGTGATCCAAACTTTAACTTACAAGAACCGATTGTTTAATCTTCCGTGTATAAGCTGAATTTTATATACTAAATCATTTTACTATATAAGTAAAGAGACACAACCAAATCAAATGAGTTGAACAATTTTGTTAACACCATAGTAACATTGGGGTAAATTTCACAAATGGTCATATAATTATGACTTTTTTTCACCAAAGTCATATAACTTTGTTTTCTCACACAAAAATCATATAACTATTACTTTTTTCACCAAAGTCATATAATTTTATTTTCTCACACAAAAATCATAAAACTTTCACTAACTCACACAAAAATCATAGTGGTCGGAAAATAAATTTTCCGATAGTATTTTCTTATTTTACGTTTGTTTTATTTTTTTCAGTCTACTAAATAATTACCCAATTAAAATAGAATAAATATGAGTATATTTTTAGCCAGCCCGACCCAATACCCATATACGTAAGTTAAAATAATATTAAAAGTGAATTCTTCCCCCATAAAAAATTTAGTTCGGAATGCATGAGATTCTGACAAAAAAATAAAGAAATAAAAGGTATAATTAGAGAGCACTTGAAATAAAAATGCTATCAATCTGAATAAAAATCTTGAAAAAAAAAATAGAAGTATCATATTTTGAAAGATTTACTCTTCACTTTAGTATTATTTTAATTTATATATATGAATATTGGGTCGGATGGGCCAGATCGGGTTGAGTCATTCCTATTTTAATTGGATTATTATTTATTAAACTGAAAATAAAAAATAAAAACCCACAAAATAAGAAAATACTGCTAAAAATATATATTTTTCGATCACTATAATTTTTGTGTAAGTTAGTAAATGTTTTATGATTTTTGTGTGAAAAAACATAGTTATGTGACTTCGATAAAAAGAAATCATAATTATATGATTTTTGGTGAGAAAACAAAGTTATATATGACTTTGATGAAAAAAATCATAATTATATTATATGGTTTATTAAAACCTGGATGTACCAGAATGATGTACCAGAATGAAGAGATTTAAAAGTTTATTAAAACCTGGATATTATATGGTTACATTACAATAATTCTAAAATCCAGAACAGATATTTGTAAGCTGAACCTTCTTTGGTTCCCAACTTGCTAGAAGTGCAATAGCATAATTAGTAAATTAAAAAGTACTGAGTGTAGTAGGATGTACAGGCTCTTTCACTCTAAGTCTCGGTTCGAGCTTTGTGAATGGAGAAAATCTTATTAAAAAGTATTTGGATCTAAATTAGTCGAGCTAGTGAATTTTGAATATCATATGGTTAAACCAAAAAAAAAAAAACTCTAAAAAGAGGCTTAGAAAGAGGAATTTATTCCGAGTTCAATAGAAAGGAGTAGCCAGAGTTTGCATACAAGGTAAACTATTGTAATAAACTCCAATTTTTAAATTGGCATTAAAATCATCCAAATTCCATAAGCCATAATCCCATATGATGTCTTCATATTTTGATGAGGCCTTAGTGGAGTAGAAAAAACCACCACCTTGCTCTTGATTAGCAGTGTTTTGGTACAAAAATGCCATTTCTTGCTTCCCTTGAGAATACAAATTTGGAACTCTATTATTCTCCTTTTCTTCAAATAAGGATACGAGTCTTTTCATGTCGTTTTGATTGTTTAGTTGTTGTTGTTGTTGTTGCTGTTGAAATTGTTGTCTTTTTAAAAGACGGGCTTTAGTCTTTTCAGCTTTATCAGTACTTGATTTCTTCACCTTTTTCTTGAAATGAGTCCTCCAATAGTTCTTGATCTCATTATCAGTTCTCCCTGGCAAGCCTCTAGCAATTGTCGACCATCTGCATATATTTTAGATGAATTAACCTAAATAGCCGCTTAAAATAAATGTATAATATATGTGTAGTACATGTATAATGTGTAAAAATATATAATTTATGTATATCGGTTAGAAAAATTAAACAGTAAATTTGTCGGGCCATTTTTGTAAAGATTCCTATTTCCTCATGAGGTTATTGATATTCATAATCATATTTAACAATAATGAAGAATTATAAAGAATATCCAAAATTACTTCAGACAATTACCTGTTACCCCATATAGCATGAAGTTCAAGAATGATCTTCTCTTCATATGGAGTTATCTGCCCTCTCTTAAGGTCTGGCCTTAAGTAATTTACCCATCTCAACCTACAGCTTTTTCCATTTCTTTTCAATCCTATATAAACAATCAAATGCTAAGTAATTAAGGGAGGAAATTCGAATTTTAAATTCCAAGAAACTGCACTATTATACAACCAAAGGGAATAGTCCGCCTCTGAAATTATCCTAAAGGATCGAAACGTTACTAATGTTGCTAATAAGCTATTTCTTTGGAAAACTCCTACTAAGATAATAAATTTTTCGATAAAGCTGCTAGTAGCAAGTGAACTTATATTGGCCAAAATGGAAAAGGAATTAAAGAAATAATAGAGAGATTTGGCATGAGTTAAAATAAAACTTATTATATTACCTGCAAATCTAGCAACAGAATTCCACCTGCCTTCACCATGTAAATTTACATATTGAATGAGCAATCTGTCTTCTTCAGCAGTCCAAGGGCCTTTTCTCCACTCTTCTTCTATAACTCTCCAATTTCCCATCTGTTCACCCATCAGAGATATTTTTAAAAGATACGGGAGCGATAAAGGACTGAATCTCACTGGATCGTAGAGATATTTTTAAAAAAGACGTACTAAAACGATAAAGAATTGAATCTCACTGGATCGTGATAGTAAGGCCGAAGGGCTTAAGGGGACTATCTATTTAACTCTCTAATATTCTGTGACATGCATAATCAGCAAGTTGTGTTGCTATTTATATTTGCACCAAAGCCTCGTGTATTGGTTCTTCTCATCAGTCCATTTTTATGCCCTTTTACATCATCAATTTCCTTTCTTCAACAAGCTAAACATGACTCTATTATTAGCACTAATAAAATATTAATCGTCCTCATCTATTTTGTACTTTTTTCCTAAAATAGTTACTAGTTACGTACGTGTACTTCTTAACGTTTACTACTCTGGAGAAATCAAAGAAAGCATTCAAATTTTTATTTTTTTGACAATCAAAGAAAGTTATAATATAACACGTGTAAATTTTCAGACGTGAAATTACAATTTGCTAAATAAACTTCAATTCACATAGTTAAATTCAGCTCTATATTTTATGTATCCTAATAAATTTTAGTTTTCAGTCTAAATGAGTAAGAAATGGCGAAATAAAAGATTAAAATGGGGTAAGAAATGGAAAAAATGAAGAAGAGATGACACATATTGTGAAGTGAATACGAGTTTGATGGGTTGATGATGTGCAATACTTGGGTTAAATTTCACAAACTCATATAACTATGAATTTTTTCCACCAAAGTCATATAACTTTATTTTCTCACACAAAAATCATAATAATTATGACTTTTTTCATCAAAATCATATAACTTTGCTTTCTCACACAAAAATCATAAAACTTTTACAAACTCACACAAAAATCATAGTGATCAGAAAATATAATTTTTCAGTAATATTTTCTTATTTTGTAATTTTTTATTTTTTATTTGCAGTCTAATAAATAATAATCCAATTAAAATAGGGATGACACAACCCGTCCTGGCCCACCTGACCCAATACTCATATATATATAAATTAAAATAATACTAAGAGTGAATAGTAAATCCTTCAAAACATGATATTTCTATCTTTTATTTTTTTTTTTTCAAAATTTTTATTCAAATTGATAGCATTTTTATTGCAAGTGCTTTCTAATTATACCTTTATTTCTTTATTTTTTTTGTCAGAATCTCATGCATTCCGAACAAAAATTTTTATGGATGGAAAATTCACTTATGGTATTATTTTAACTTACGTACGTATATGGGTATTCAGTCAAGGTAGGTTGGGTCATTCCTATTTTAAGAAAAAAATATAAAATTAATCGGTCGGTCGAAACTAATTGTATTTGCTAGCCAAAATTTTATATATATANTTTAATTGGATAATTATTTATTAGATTGAAAATAAAAAAAAATACTACCAAAAAATTTATTTTTCGACCTCTATAATTTTTGTGTGAGTTAGTGAAAGTTTTATGATTTTTGTGTGAGGAAACAAAGTTATATGACTTTGGTAAAAAAAATCATAGTCATATGACCATTTGTGAAATTTATTCGGCAATACTTATTAAACAATGTTATCTTATTGTAGTTTAGTTGTAATTTAAGTTGCAAGGTTAATGATGTCTAACGATTTTCATTTTATTGAAACACAGACATATTTTATTAATTTGTTACTAAATTTCGTTTCATGACTTTATTTCAATTTTCAACTCGATGATATCTGTAAAATTAACATAAAAATGATTAGCCTTAAAAGAGGCTAGAAAGGCCACGTATAACCTGGGGGTAATGAATCTAGACAACTAATACACACTTAAAAAGCCTTAAAAAACTATTTTTCTTTTTGATTTTTCTGCAAATTAAGTACAAAAATTAGTAAACTAATTGGGTGGCTAATCGTTCAATGTGAAAGCCACTGGCAATCCAATAAGAAAGAACCAGGTGTGGATTTCTTACTTCTTAAGGATATAGGTGCAAGATAATCACCATCATATTATAATTAATTATAATTTGTTGGATGCAATTTTGGGTATTGGGTTTCATTAGAATACAAATATTTCCACTTAATATATTAGCTAAAGCATGTTCTTAGTACGTCATTTTGGAACAGGTGTGTTGCCTAGATTCTTGCTTTTCTTAGTTAATTTTTTTTTTGTACTTTTAATTTTTTTTCTTTATGCAAATGTATATTAATAATTTTGAGGATCAATTATAGGCTTAGTTACAGGACCTTATATTAAAGAAGAATTAACCCAAATAGCCGCTCACCTCATCACTTAAAAGTATTTGGCTAAATTCATAGACAACCCTTAAAGTTATTATCAATTTTATTTAGACACTTTAACTGAGGTTGTTACTTATTAAACACATGATTAATGCATAAATTGTGCCTATTAAACCCTTGAGCACTAACTAGTAAGAAAAACTAAAAGCATGAGCTGCTCTCGCGATAACCTGTCAAAACTAACAAATGAAGCGAAGCAATGTGGCTTTTTAACAAAGCTAATACTGCACTGCAACATAAACCAGAATTCCAAATCTTTGTTCCAACACCATAAATATTTCAGTAGCATATGCAGAACTTTTCATAAGCGATGTCATAATTCATGGGTAGACGGTGATAACCTTCGGTAGAAAAATTAGTTGCTAGATCACTCGACTGAGAACTAGATTTGTGTAGTAGTGTCACTTTACTTTTATTATACGTTGTTTTGTTTTTGCATATAATCTACCATAAACGAATTTAATTAAATTTTTCGACGAAGCGTGACACCGCTTGGGCCTACGTGCATCCGCCCCAACCATAAAAATATAATAGGAACCTTACTCTATATTTTTCTACACCAGTCAACAGCCGACGACCATCCTTTCCTTTCCTTTTAATAGGCATGCTGCAAACTTTATGCATAGATAAGTGTTCAATTAACAAACTCAGTGTCTAAATAGAATTTAGTGACAACTTTAGGATGTTGGCTAAAATATTTCTTTAGAAAACTTCAAAAGTTAAGTTACAACTAATGTCACAACCTAATTTAGGGTTATGACCGGCACTTAGGAGCAAGTGCCCCCAAGTAAGCCCCATCGGTATTTTACAGAAAATCGGACAGAGTTTTCCCTATTTTTGAACTATCCCCAAAAATTTCTCTATCTCAAATCAACAACCAAACACCCTAATATCAATTCAAACAACAATGACTTTACCAATTAACCAAAACAAATATCTACCATTTATAGTCCACCCACTAACAACTAAAAATACTACTTTATCTCCAACTTTGATAAGAATTAGCGATACTCAACATAAGTCTATAATAACAAAAGAATATTCAAGACACTAAAAGAATGACTATGGAGCGACTCTAAGAGATCAAAGAAATGACCATAACCATAAATAGAATCTTCGTCCACATAAACAAGTGCGAGGCTCACCAAGAACTATCAATCTGTGTGCTCTAATTAACGAAATTCTCGCCTGCGTCAATTGTTGTCTCTGTAAAACAAATTAGCGGGGAATGAATCGCTAGCTCAGTAAGTAATAACACTTAACCACAACCATTTTTATTGGGGACAAGTCAGAAAACATGCAAGTATGTTAAACAGAAAATATCAGAAAAATGCCCTTTCAGAAACAATAAATAATTTTCAGTCTCATCATATTTTTCTTGTAGTATAATACAATTAACAATTCAGTAATAAACTCGGTGACCACTGTATAATACTAATATTCACATTTGGGAGGTTTCAATGAACGAATCATGTAATTGGTTTAACTGTGGACTTACTCGCAAGAAGCCAAATATAACGGTAGTCCCTACTCAAGGGAAATCAGTAACGGAACTACCGTCGTTAATTACAAGGTGCACCAGGTCTAACGAACCCGACGTTAGCTACGGGATACTTCAAAGTTTACTCTCATTTATACTTGTCTATGTAATCCGTATATACTCATAAGAAAATATTTTAAAACAATATAGGGTATTTCGGTTCTTATCAAATCATGTAATTTCATTTCGATAACCGTAAATTTAAGTAACGGTAAAATATATCTAGTGACAACAAGAATTTTTAAAACAACGGTAATCATCTCAAATAACTATTTCGGTATCATATCGAGTAAAGAGACTTGTCCCATATGCAACTCAAAATAATCGGTAACATATTCATATTAAAAATCATGTGTAAATCATGCAAGTTATGAAAACACAAATTACAGTAAGGTTACTACTCACAGTACTCGTGCCGAAATACCAAATGCTTCACCTCGAGCAATTCGTACAACTTCCTCCAAGCAATCTATAATTACATAATATTGATCTCATGTTAATTTCCTTATTTTAGCTAATTCATAGCTAATTTAGAATACACAATCCTTGGATTTCATGTTTGACTCTTAATTCATCGATTTATACTTACTTACGCTACTCGTAGTTGAGAATACTTCAAAATCAAATACAACCTATTCATATGATATACCCAATTAATTCACGGAAAAGTCTCATGAATTTTTCCCAATTTCCTTAACTTTGTCTTTCAAATTCTTAATCCAATTCCAAAATTATATCTACTCAGCCCTATCGGAATTATGTATATAAAATTCTATTGTCTTAAAAGAGGAAGAAATACATGTAACTATCTAGAGTGTATTGCTGAAATCCAAGGAATTGTATGCCAAAGATTAAATGAAACACGATCTTCGGTGCTAAAGAAACACGGAGACTCTCTTTCTTCTGTTTTTTCTGTTTGATGCTTTCTTTCTTTCTTTCTAAGGGATTTTTTTTTTCATGAAACCTTCTTGCTTCTGTTTGTCTTAGCAGCAAGTTGCGTTCCCCCTTTTTTTTTTTTCCTTTTCCCCTTTCTTTTGGCAGATATGTTTCAAATGGGCTTCAACCCTTTTCTTTAAATTCCTTATACCTTTTTTCCTTTTTGTTTTGTTTTATTATATAGTTTCTTATTCTTATTATTATTATTATTATTATTATTATTATTATTATTATTATTATTGCTAATAACCAATACACTCTTACGAAAAAATATAGGATATTAGATCTTCTCCACCTTATGAAATTCGGTCCCCGAATTTACAACAAGTGCATACCCGTAGACTGAAATAAATGGGAATACTTCGCTTGCATATCTTTTTCTACTTCCCAAGTAGCTTCTTCAATGGTGTAATTTCTCCATAAGACTTTCACGAACGTAATTTTTTTTTACCGTAGCTTCCTTACTTGTCTATCAACAATAGTCATCGGCTCCTCCTCGTAAGACAACTTCTCATCAATCGGTATA